CTGGCTCTATGCTTTTACCAATTTGCCTTTCGTGAATTTCTTATTTTACCCCTCATATTACACCCTAAATGGTTTCCTGACAGTTTGGAACCAAGTGTTCTTAATACTATCAAGGGACAATTCTGCAGCCTCAAAAGCTTTTATATTTCTTTCTTTCTAAATAACTTATAAGATAGGTAAAGAGATAAGACCTAAGTTCTTGATGTAGTGTTTTTCCTCATCGATGCCTCTCCAAGCCCATATCTCTTTGACTGAACAGTCACACACACTTCACCCAGCCAGTAGCAAAAAGGACACAAAAGGAGAAGGTGGTTGACAGACTCTGCAATTCTCTTGCATAAGTAGCATCCAGTTAATGATGATATTTCTTTCTTGATCAGATTGTCCATTTTTAGGATACATCCTCTCACCATTTCCCAGTCAAAAAAGAAAAGGTACTCCATGAGATGCATTGACCTTCTTGATCAGACTGCCTACAGTCTTGGTATATGTAATTATAACAAGATCTTTTTGTGTTACTCTCAACCTCCAATCAAATTCAAGGTGTGGTCTTTTTGTTAAAAAAGGAAAAAGGAATCAAGGTTGTTGGAGTAGTTCAAGCAGAAAATCAAGTTCTAATTCTGCAAATCACCCCTAATATGAAAACTAGAGCTAGAAATATTTACAAATGGAATGAAAAGATAGACAAAACTTAGTCTTGTTTGTGTCATTTGTATGATAGGGAAATAGGAATATCAATCGCATTACTGGCTGATGAATATCTTTGATGTTTGTTTATGTTCACATGATAAAATTTAATCCCAGAGTTTCTTCAATACTCATTATCTGAACACTATCATAGTTTCAAACAACACTATCAGAAACTTGCTTTTTTTTTTTTTGGTTTAGAATTGGACTTGCAAATGTTTTCTGGGATATAAGTGAATGTAATATATCTACCGCTTAACAATTGCAGGATGTTTGACTCTGTAACCCATGATTTCAACAACACTGAAGGTTCAGGTTGTTCGGACTTCAAAAGCAAGCCCGATGGATGGGAAACAACATCAAAGGCACAAGATGAAAATGTATGGGAGATGTCACAGAGGGAAGAAGATATTCTACTCCAAGAATTTGATCGTCGAATTGCATACTGCAAATTTCAGGTTTGTCAATATAATCTGTTGTATTGGTGCACTAGAATTTTCAGCTTAATCAGATCTTTTAGCAGTTAAGACACAAGGAATTGGAATTGAAACTTGACTAATAAATGAACATAGGCGGCAAAAGAAGGATTAAAAAACCAATTCTCATGTGCATAAAGCAGGAAAACCAACTTCCAGCTTTTACAGCTACCTGTGTGTTGTGCATCATGTTGTTTGTGAAGAAATCTGTAGATTCAAGATGTATATGTTGAATTACAGAAGCTCTGATGATAAATAAGTTGACATATATATGCATGATTTTCCTTCCAATAGTTGTATGATTATTTATTTCCATTTAAGTTTTCATTTCAAGCTGGTGCGGCCTTCTCATTTTTGCAATTGCAATGCAGATAGCTAGTTTTATTAAACAACACATATTTAGCCGAAGAAGACCAATTGATGGCTGGAAATATATGATAGAGGAGATAGGACCAAATGCCAAGAAAGGGAAAGGTAGTGTTTCAAGGTTACCAAGTTTATCGGATGCGTCAACACAACCATTCAAAGAGGAGAAAACACCAATCAGTGGCAATCTCACTCCCTTAAGAGGCAGGTAGCTTTGTCTCTGAATTCTTGTCATTATCCAGTTGAGCACTTATTCTGGGGCGCTACCATTTCTAGCAGTTTTAGCAGTTTTTTGATGCGGTATTATCTTAGGGTAGTATGGTACCAAAAACCTACTTCTCAAGGTATTAGCGAAGTTTCTCCCATGAATTTTCTCTGAAGTTGGTGGCTTTTCGGATCCTGCTATTTGTATATAATGTTCCATTTGATCTTCGGAATATTATCCAATCTTTATGGTTTAGTAACCCAAAAAAGAAAGAAAGAAAGAGAAAAAAAAAAACTATGGATTGTGAACCTGATGTCCATGAGGAACAAGTCCTCTGCAATTTTTATATTCTGAATGAGTTAAAAAGGGATTCAGTAAATAATTGCCTTGTGTTTAATTCAATTATATTACCTTTTTATTTAACTCTCTTATGTTTTAATTGTTCGGAATATAGAATTCAATTATAATTTACGTATTTGATATTATTTTTTATTCTAGAATAAATGTAAATTCTCGTTTGTCAATGAATAAATAATAAAAACACTAAACTTGAATAT